TCAGCACGGGCAGATCTACGGGGGGGGGAGGGTTTCGGGCTGAAGCTCCCCCCAAAATGGCAAAATATAACCATGTTTTATCGAAAAATATATAAAAAAAGTATCTCTTAAAGTATTATCGTTCGTGTGATTAATATTAAAAGGGCTTTAGGAATCACTTAAACACCATTTCATACAGGTAGTTAGTTTCTTTCTTTTTTTCCAAAGTAATTATGGTTATTTTTATGAAAAAAAAAGCTTTCGGGCTGAAGCCCCCCCCCCCAAAAATTAAATCCTGGATCCGCTAGTGGTTCTCAGCAAACTGCTTAGATATGAAAGACACGGAAGTTCCTGTATCGATTAAAGCATGAGGTGGGTATATGGGCCGGATGTGACAGCAACTTATTCGTTAAAATCTGCTAACCGGAAATGCCACTTTATATGAACGCTGAAACACATTTTTACAATTTTCTCAAAAACGGCTCAAATGATTTTGATTAAACTCGGTGTATCATTGTATAATTAAGTGGCCTTTAATATCATTTAGGTCTTATCCCCGTTGATGTCACTTTAAAGGGCTTAAATGCCCAATGTTCATATATGTCTTCCTCTAAAATACCTTTAATATGGTTTATTTTAAAAAGTTAACCATTTCGCATTATTCAGAGTTACGAAAAAATGCTACATATAACTTTTGAAAGAATTTGATAAGTTAATAAACGAGAAAAAAATAATAATTCAGAAAAACCTGCGTTGCTATAGACTGTAGCGTCTAAACAAATGTATTGATTTCAATGAAACTTCGCTAGTCATTTTCTCGATACCCTTTAAATTCATCTATATAACGTACTTAAACGATAAGAAGCTGGAAAAAAAGTTATGAGGGATGTTAAAATTAAATTCCCAATAACTCAAAAAGTATACACCTTTTTGGAGATATTGTTTTTTAAAAGTTTATGGAATTTCCTAAAAAAACAGAAAAAACCCCGTTAAAATCGGACAATTAGGAGGAAAGATATAGTCTAGTTTTTTTCTCTGAAGAGGCGAAAATTTGGATAAATTTAAAATATACTTTTTTAATTGTTGAGGCTAAAAAAACCTTTTTACTACAGATATTTAATAAAGTGTCTTTCCTAAGAACATCTTTCATAAGAAATAAGTACCTAAATTTATACCTTTATTCTTAGTTCTATATTTCAACACTGCAATCAGCACCTCTGGAATCAACTTACTCATTGTCTGCATGGATAACTTTTTCACTAAAAATATCACTAAAATGACATCACTCAATAATGTTGAAGTAGGAGTTAGTCATTCTGTGGTTTATAAAAACAAAGAAAGTTGTGTGGTTCACTCCATCTGTGACTAGATTTTTATTACCTGTCGTCGATATATTAAATAGACATTTTGTAATTATAATGGTCTTAATGACTTGTTATCTGTAAGCTTTAAGTTTTAACTCCGTTTAAAATGCACTTCAAAAAATTTTATAGAAGCCAGAAAATAATTTTTATTTAAAGTAGATCGGTAAGTGAAAGTTGTGTGTTGTGCGCACCTAATTTTTTTCTAGTAAACAGGTCATTAGTATTTTACATTAACACTGTTTTCCGACAGCACTGAGAGGTAATCTAAAAGTACAAATGTGAACATTTTACAAATTTTGCGTCTTTTTCTACTGAACTGGTGATCAGTATTTTACGATTAACACAATTTAACGACAGCTTAGAGGTAAGCCAAAGTACAAGGATGACAAATTTCCAAGTTTTCCTATTTTTCTTGTGAACGGGTGGCTGAACAGTATTTTACGGTTCAAACTGGTTTCCAACAGTTTAGAGGTACTTTAAAATTAAATAGAGAGTGAAAATTTTCCAGATTTCAATTTGGTTTTCCTATTTTATTTCGTGAATGGGAGGGAGGGATAATGATTTGTCTCGGTTCAAACTGTCTTCCTAAAGTTTATACGTATACTAAAATGAAATAGTGTGAAAATTTCCCTAATTTTTTTTTTTGGCTTTTCTCTTTTGTTTCGTGAATGGGAAATCGATTTTTATCGGTTCAAACTATTTTCCGATTTTAAATAGATAGGCTAAAATAAAAAAATGGTGACAATTTTCCAGAAATATCAGTAACATTCCTTTTTTATCTAATGAACGGAGATGGTTTTTTACGGTTCTAACTATTTACTGTCGGTTCAAACGTAGAATAAAAGGAAAATGAGTGAAAATTTACCAATTTTCAATTCATGGGCGGTAGAATCACCTGATCACAAGAACTGATCATTTCCGGAGATATAAAAGAAAAAGCGAATGGAACAAACATCAGAAAATGTTTGCACTCATTTTTCTTATAGCATAGCTCTTAACTGTTGTTAGATAATCATTCGAATCACAAAATTCTATTCACCCATTCATGAGATACAAAGAAAAATGAATGACAAGCAGAAAATTTTTGCACTCTTTTTACTTTTAGCATAACTGTCTGAGAATTGTTTGATTCGTAAAATGATGTATGAATGATTATATATGATATAATCCATTCATGACATATAAAAGGAAAAGTGAATAAGCACAGACGGAAAATGTTCACACATATAGTTTTTCTTTTATTCTGCTTGATAAACTGTCAAAATGTCATTTCCCCTGGTTAAATACATTTGAACATTCATAAGGAATATTAGGAAGAGATAATGAAAAGTGGAAATTTGAACACGTTTTTGTATTAGCCTCTACATGCACTGTGATTGTCCTCCCCCAATAAACTTTTTTGTTGAAGGAGCAAGAATATAGTTTCACCGTTTCCCAATAATTGAAAGAAAAAAAAATTTAAATTGATTAAGAAAAGTCGACTAGCTAGGTTATGGGGGCTAGCTAGGTATGTAACTATTTTATTGATACCTAAATGTTACTTTTATTTAAATTTTCATTTATATTCAAAGATAATAATATAAATCAACATATCCTAGGATTTTATGATTCAATCACCCTTCTATTTTCATATGATATTCTTAGCGACAAACTAGCCCGACTGTTAAAAATGTTCTATTTTTATTTGAGGTAGTACACACTAAGAAATCAAAGAGATTTTTGACTTTTTTGCATTATCCATTTTTAGCTGAAAAAATTGTAGAAATTTACCAATGTTATGAAGTCTGTTTTTCCTCCCCTTTATCTTTAATCTAATAAAAAAATACCTTGTATATTCAATTGTATTTTTTAAAAGATATTTTCAAGTATATATAATAAGTAAAAGAAAAACAAAAAAAATCCTTACAACTATACCAATATATAAAAAAATTAATTTTAAATGTTCAATATTATATGGGTTAGTTTCACAATAATTATGTTGAATTTTTACACATCAAAATCGAAAATCTGTGCGCCCATGCTTTTAAATAAGAATATTTTTTGTCGCTAACCTAATTATATTTCACCTTTGATCCAACCCAATATATTTATATTAAATCAACAGAGTGATCAATAAAGAAACAGGTTTTCTCTATAAAGAAAAAATTCTATTCCCAATATTTCTTTTTCAATTTCGAATGTTTGCTTGAGCAGGCTATGACTCAAATAATGGGTCGTAATGCCGAATAAGAAGAAGAATTTTGAATTTCAATCAAATACATATGAATCAAGAGATTGTTTCTTTTTTGTTGAAAATAGGAATCACTAATTTTATTCAGAACAAACTACAACTCAATTTCACATGTTTTGTGAATTGGTTCCCTCCTACTAAATACCATCCAATTATCAACTGGACGTTTTAGTCATGTTGCAAAACTAAACGATAGTCAGCCTATTAAATATTAGAATTTTAAAAGTTTTGGCTATTTAGTGGCATCACTGAAATGAAATAGGTTAATTCATTTATTGCTATCAAAAGAAATGTCAGATATTTAGAATAACATTAAAACCTGAATGAATGAAATACAATTTAAATAATTGATCAAAATATGATTATGTTCCTTTTTTTATAACAATTCTTTGAAAAAGGTTTTTTTTTAGTTTTTATTTTGGACCTAGGTTCATCTAGGCCAATCTCAAAGTGAATAACCATTAGTCACACAGGAAAATGTGATCTAAGTTTATTCTTCAAAATTAATCATCAGTTTTGGTAACTAATTCACTTAAAAATTATTTTCACAGTATTCCCTCACATTTTATTAATGTTACCTCCAATGATGACATAAAAGAATAAAATTAAAAGTAGGTAAAATACTACCTTTATTTTTATTATTATTACTTTTTAAATGTAATGATTAACAGTATTATAACTAAATAGATAAATTAATAAAATTAAAATTAAATAAATGAGCCAGGAAGGTTTTAATCTCTATTAATTCAAACAATAACGTCAATCTAAACTATAACATACAATGATTTACAGATACTTTTAAGTAGAAAAATGTGAATCAAAAATTTCTGTCATTTCATCACAGCAAGTTATATAAATATATAAATAAAAAACAATGAATAAGGAGGTAATCATTTAAGCAAATAACAATAATAATATTTGATTTAATATCTTTTTTTTTTCATGTAAACCAGTTTCTATTCCTCTATAACTTATAAACACAATAATAATATACAATAATCTAATAGATATAAACATTCCTTTACTATACATTGTATTCATTCATTTTCACATATATCCTGAATAACAAATATTGCAATCAACACATAGGTAACATAATTGGTCATGATGAACCAATCAATATTCCAACTCTTGTCTTTTTAAAATAAATTCATTCAATATATTACAAATAAAAACTATAAGATTAGAGAATTTTGAAGGATCACAATTGGTAAAAATATAAATCACAATTATTCCCATACACAAGTTGGATACCACCACATACCGTACATATTAATATAACAATAAAATAATGTAACTATACATCAAATATATTTAGAATATTTACAAAATGTCATCAAATGTTGAAGGATAAAATATTAGATTTAATCCATACAAACTATATAAAAACGACGATACATAAATTTAAAGGGAAATCAAATTTACCATTAAGATGGGAATCGAGAGGGGTTGTACACTGTAGGATGGTTTGAATTCCCTTGCAACTGAAATAAAGAAAAAAATTATATTTATAAAAAATGTTGGCAAAACCTGAAATAATGAATTCATATAAAATTTTCAGACAAAGGAACAGAATAATTTCACTTTTTCCATAAAAAAATACTAATGCAAACAATACTTTTTCTCTAATAAAATCTATTGTTAGGATTTTTTTTTTTTTATTTCAACAAACAATTTAAGAAAAATAACATGTAATCATCACTATACTATCACCATAAATAAAATGTCTGAACTATCATATCGAATTGCTAAATACATTCCTGTAGTTTTCAGTTTGGCCTAAAAAATACATCTTTTATCAAAATTAAAAAGCCCTAAATCCTAAATGTATATCCCAATATGTAATCTAAACAAAAATTGATATATAAAACAAGGGAACTTGGATGGTACCATTTAGAATCACTTCTTTATTTCTTACTTTCAGAAACAGCTATTTTATTCATAGAAATAACTCCTTAATTCATAGTGAAGTTGTTAGCAAGTCTATCACTTCATTAGTTTTTGCTTCCCAGATCAAAAAAGTTATTTTAGTTCTGGAGTAATGTTATCCTGAAGGTTTAAGTTCTCCCATTTAACATATTTAGAAAACAATTTGGAGAGTACCAAAGATACAAATATATATATATATATAAACTAGGGAATATCGTATTAATGAGTAAGGTATAGATTGACATGTAACATTTAAAAAAATAAGCTGGTGCATGCATCACACAACTTTCACTTACTACTATATTACAGGTAAAAGTTATTTCCTGGCAAAATCAGGCTATTGGAAAAAGTCTTTGAAGTACATTTTTAATGGAATTAAACCTTACAGAACACACTTGTGAATTTCAGTCATATTTATCAATGCAAGAACTTATTAACGACATCAAAATAACACAAACCGTATTTATTACGTCAACGGTAAGCTATGAAAACCTTGTAGCTTCTCATTAGTCAAAATTAGTTCAAACAACATAACTCCAGGCTCAGAACTCTCTCAATATATAAAGAGAGATTTGAAGGTACATAGATATTTCTAATCTATAAATAAATAAGGATTTTACTATGTGGTATAAATAATAGGAAATAAATTGGTATCACTTTATGCATTTTTATTAAACTCTTATTTCTTAATCTTGTAAAATTTACCAAAATTTGAGTTGCAAAGTTTTCATTGCCTACCATCAATAGGTCAAACGGCAGTCGCACTAGAAAGAGGAGGTCACAGTCAATGGGCTTTTAATAATTTTTTTTTTACTTTTATGATTCTACGTTGAAATATATTACTCTTGTTTTGGCCTTCATTCTCCTAGGCCTTATGAGCCGAAAAAGAAATAAACAGGTGGTATTAATTATATAAACAACCAGGTCCATGATTTTAGACATTAGAGCCCAAGTAATTGAATATAAGAAATCCACCTGCTCAAAAAACAGAATGAATATATATAAATACATATATTGAAGAGTCAAAGTGGCTCTTCCCCTCTTCCCGCCACCTATACTTCCTTGGAAATTTCTTATACCAAACGATCAACTCCCAGCACCCTTTCTATATCTGTTGTCTCCTCCAGCCTAAACCCTTAGTCCACTCAATAAAAACAAGATCCCGTGTTTCTGACCTCTATATTCCATTCCACAGGACAAAAACCTATGAACGTTCCTTCTTAGGCCGCTCCGTCTCCTACTGGAATTCTTTGCCACATAACATCCGTCATGCCTCTTCCCTGTCAACTTTCAAATACCTCCTTTTCCAATATCTCCTTACAACCCAAACAAAAGATTTACCACCATAAATTTCATTTTATGAACTGAATTTGTGTGAAGTAAATGGTGGTGCCTATTGTTCAAGTTTTAACATAAAACAACAATGATCTTTGTCACCTAGTTTGACTATTATTTTTCCTATTTATTTTTATTTTTTCTCTTCTCCTCAGGTTGTGCTTTTTCTTTCGGGTATATATGTTTATATTTTATACTCTTTGTCTTTCCGTGTGCCAATATGAGAATGTACGTATAAATAGTTCTTTATTTATTTTTTTTTTTTTTCCATTACAAAACAAGTAATCCTAAAATTTTATTTTATCTTAGTGTCTGCATATTATTACATAAATCACTGTAGATATTATTACATTTTGTATTAAGTTAGTTTTCTATTAGATAGCCTATTGTTTATAAATTGTGTAGTTATGTATATATAAATATGTAATTTCTCTTATTTTTTTTTTCATCACAATTAAGTAATTTTGAGAAGATTTTATGTTCATTTGTATATATATTTTATTTTTTATTGGTTACAAACTTTTTAAATAATGTATATAATATTAAAATTTTTAGAAGTTAGTTTTTGGCCAGATTTGTACTTTACTTTGTATTAACTCATCATTGTTATTCTAAAGGGACTTAGTCCCAGAATAAAGTTTAATTTTCTATTCTATTCTATTCTATATACTGTTATAATTTAAAAAAAAAAAACTCATAAATATTCAATTTTTTAAATTAATTAGCAATCCTCAGAGATCTAATAAGGCTGCCAGAGACAGGAGGCGGGGGCAACATGAATATAATCTGGCCTAGTACAAATACTACAACTGTAGAAAAAAAAGTTTGTAGCACTGAACCCCCATGAAGGTCACCTTCTTCATAATAATCATTTAGAAATTCTATGCAATTACCTCAGCCTCTGTTCCTAATAGCATTTTTGATTTTTGGCTTAGCCATCTATATATATATTCTGTTTTTTGAGCAGGTGGATTTCTTATATTCAATTACTTGGGCTCTGTCTAATGGATCCTGATAACTTTTCTCTCTGATGCCTGGAATAGATGCTTTAATGTAGACTCTACAATGACCATAGGGATAAAAGGTCTCTGCATGGACCTACGATGTGGTCATCCATTGCTTCACAAATTCTGCGTTTGTGATGCAATATCACTGGTATCCTTTGACCTGTACAATCCTTCGGCGTTAGGCATGCATTTTTCTTTTGATTCTAAATTAAGCATTTTTATATATCTCTCTCTTATCTTCCTTCCTGAGCTGGCCGATAATGGACTCTATTTTGTTTATCGGAATGGATTTTATCTTTTCAGTAATGCAAATCCTCTATGTAACTGTAGTGTGGTGGCATAGAACAGCTGCAGGCAGGCCTAGAATGCTGCTTGGAAAGAGTTGCATTAATGACGATGGGAGCTATGAGCACTACTCCCACTAATGCAATGGAGGTTCTTTTGAACCATTGCATTTAGAGGTGGAAGTACATGCTCTCAGAACTGCCTATGGATAGGATAAACTGGGAACGAGATCGAAATTCCTGACGTTTCAGGGCCATGGGATCGTTTTTGATAAGATTGATAGAAATGAAGTACTTGCGATGAACTCTGACCTTCAAGTTGATAATTATAAACATATACTATATAATTTGAACATAACCAGGAGTAACTCGCATAGACCATGTAATGGAGTTAACTGTTATACCGACGACTCCTTAATGGAGCAGGGATCAGGGGCTGACATCTGGAGAAAGGATAAACCTAATGAGGAAAAAATTCATATCTCTAAATAGATATATGTCTGTCTTTCAAGCCGAGATTTTAGCCATTGATTTTTGTGCCCAATCACTTATTAATGAGGGCATTGTGAATAGATTGATAACTATATATACGGATAGTCAAGCGGTAATTGGGGCCCTGAATAGTTATGAAAGTCGCTCAAAGCTGGTGCACGAATGTAAAGGCAATCTTAACCTTTTTTGTAGTACTAACAAGGTGAGAGTTGAATGGGTAACTGGGCACTCAGGCATTCCAGGAATTGGGAAAGCGATTACCTTGCTAGAAAAGGCTCTGCACAAGTGCTGATTGCAGCAGAGCCTATTTGTGGGATAAGCCTTGGCTTAGCAATAAATTTAAGCTACACTGGGTACAGACTAGGAAACAAACTCATTCTAAGATATTCCTAATAGGGTTCTGCCATAAGGGAAGTAATTCACTTCTAATGGACAGCAATACCATTAGGCAGGTGACAGAACTGTATACCAGTTACTGTCAATTAAATAAGCACCTTTACAATTTGGGTGTAAGTGAGACCTCCACCTGCAGGCCTGGATGTAGCCTGGAGGACGAAACGGCCTATCACATTATTTATTTGTAGATGTGATAATTTGGCTAGACCGCAATACTTTCACTTTAGATGTGATCCTATCACTGACTCTAAGCACTGCCAACTGATTGATCCTATTAGTATCAATAGGTTCGTAAAGGCATCTGGCCTGTTATAACTGAGTTTAGGATGACGCAAAATAGGCCTTTCTGAGGCCGCGGTGCACCCCTTATGTCGGAGCTTAAAAAAAAAAAAAAGTGGCAGAGAATAGGTGAGCCACATTTCAAATCAAACCAATGGGCTAACAAATTTATGTATGACAGGAAAATTCTTACAGGCTCAGAGTGGACAAATGCTTTGAAACTCAATGTCAACTATGGTCCTCTTCAATGAGTTTCAGGAACCGAAGGCCAGACGAATGGAACCCTGTTGGAAATGTTGGGACCCTCTGCCGCAAATTTGGTGGAGAATCAGAAACCCCAGCTCATGTATTGGGAAAGTATCCAATATCAAAATTCCTGGAGACGAAAAATTATAAATACTTTATAATTATATAATAATTAAGGCTCAGCAAGATTCGTAGATATCTTGGCATTTAGTTAAAAAGGAAAGGAGGCTCTTATAGTCGATCCTACAATTGGATATGAGAGGAACGATGAACAGCAAGATCTCAAATTATTAATTGAGAAGGATGAAGTATATAAAAATGCATTCTGTATCTAAAGAAGAAATATAGAGAGGAATTTTTGGGACATTGGTTTGGAAGTAGAGGGGCAATTCCTCTTCCAACTGCTAGTTTTTTGGTAAAGTTAGATGTTAAAAGGTATGAGATACAGAGTATGGCGGAGTCCATTATTTTGGCTTCACTAGGAATCCTGCACCATCCCCTCTATTAAATCAGGTCATTGATTTTTGGATCCGGGTGGCAATTGAGAAGAACGAGGATGAGAAAAGAAAGGAAACAATAAATGACATTTTTAAATACAAAGTGTATCAAGCTGAATTGTAAGATATTGTCAACCAGATAGATTAGTGTGGTGTCAGTTACCTACTCAACACAGTTGAGCAGCATTACAATTTTATTGTAGTTCTCTCTACTTAAATGAATAGATAAATAGTGTAGAGATAATAAGATTTATTTACATAATAAGAGGAGTTGTCGGGAGGGGAAGGAGAGGGGGAGAGGACGTTCAAATAAATACTAAATTTTTAAAATAGTATTTCAATCGCTACGCCAGTGGCTACCAAAACAACATCCAAGACGGCAGTGGCGTAACGATTCAAATATTAAAAATTTAGTATTTATTTGACCGCACTCCCCTGACCAACTTCTCAAATTGAAAATAATTGATGCAAACTTAATCATGTTAATATGATAAGATTAAAAATGGTAATATAACAACAAATACCATTTTAGGAAATTGAAGTTAATTCATAAAGTGAACTTTTTTTTATTATAATTTAGAAACACACCTCAATAATTTTCTTCAATAACTTATGCATACATAAAGGAATTGGAATATAAGTTAAATTGTATAATCGAATATTATCCAACATGCACATAGTGTTAAGCATGCATACACATTTCTAACAGTGCAATTATATTCAGAACAAAAGGCTGCGGCCACAAGGGTATAATCATGCTGTGGTTTAAGGCCTAAGTGCTCCACTCTATGACTGTGTGAAATTAAGCAAAATATAAGATAAAAAAAAACAAGAGAAATACAGTTATGTACTGATGTTTTTCATGAATAAATTTGTTTTTATTTAAATTAATAATAAATTATAATTTCTGACTTAAAGCTAAAAGGGTTCACGTTAATTATAAGTTCTGGCCAGAAATATTCTTCAAAATTCTTGAGTTCCTCACTTTAAATTTTCTTTAACCTAGTTATCAAATCTTTAATTTTAACTCATTATTCTTCCATCATAAATGAGATCGCAAAACATTTTTTTTATATATATAAGTCAATGAAATTAAACTGATGTTTTATTTATTTATCCTTTAATCCACATTGACCATTTTAGCACTGTTTATATATAGAGATACATATAAAATATTTTTCCTTATTTAATGGGTTTAAAACAAGAAAGTTTTATTGATGCCTGAGCCCAGAGGGAATGGAAAACTAAAAACAGATCTCCAAGAAACTCTTTCTGATTCATGTATGGATCAATCTAAATTATGAATATGATTTTTTTTTTTTTAAATAATGTAACATTAAAGAATATATGTATAACAAACTTAAACAAAACTCAACTATCCTTGAGTAGATTTATGAATTGCATGCTTATCCCATAAACTGACGAAGTACAATATTTGGATAAGTTACAAGCAAAAGATAAAATGTAAACAGTAATATGGAGTTCTTTGAAGGTTAACTGATATTCAAAATTATAAGCAAATAAACTATATACAAGTTCTAATGAAACCATTTTGGTCGTATGACAAAAATTTAAGTGGAAAAAAACAAAAAAAATTCAGTATCAGATTTGGCTATTTCAGTGTGAAGAATAGTGAATTGAGAAAATTTGTGGATGTTCCTTTAGTCCCACTAACATCCATCACAATAATATTGCCACCATGACCGGAAGTAGTAATAAGGATATTTGCCAGGAAGGAGGAAGCTTAATTTTGCTACCCCTTCTTTCAACTTCTGTGACCTGTCCTTCCCTATTAAAAGTCAACATTTTATATTAATATTTTATGTGATGTATTTCCAAATAAATCTCGTAATTAGATAATATTAATTTATGTTATTGACTGAAGTAAAGTAAAGTCAAAACAACCAAAAAGTAGAAAGAAATAATTTTCACTTAACCTAAAAAAATATTTCGACTTAGTCGTCCTCTAATTTCTACCACCCGGAGTATTTGCACCTCCCCAGTTCTAGCCCTGATTGCCACCATATTTCTCACAATGACTGCCTTAAAATCTAAACAGAGGACCATTGAGATGGCGGACAAGAAAAACTTTAAATAGAACAGTAATATAGAGTAATATCATCATGTTTGCTTATAGATGAAGCAGACAGACAATTTTTATTATGACAAAAATAGGTATTATTGTTATAAATAATAAACTTAGTTGAAAACTCTACACCTTAACATAACTTTTTAGGTTTTTGTAAACAAAAATATCAATAATCGTTCTTTAATTAATATTTTCTGCAGTCAAACTGAGTAGAATTCATTATTAAGAAAGATATAATAGATAGTTTTGGTACCTAAAAAAATATAAATACTATTGTAACAAATTCTAATTTCACTACAATAAAAATAATGACATAAATAATTATGCGATTTTTATCAAATAATTTATAATCTTAGTAAGTTACTTACCCGCTGCTGAAAATGAACTTGACGTGGAGCCATGTAATACTGAACTTCCCTCGACAGAGAGCTCACAGAACTGCATCTTGAGAGCTAAAAGCGCATGCGCAACACAAGCAATGCTATACCACCACAAACCACACCAACTACATACTATCAATTGAACTCTTTTTATGACATTTTTATAAAACATAAAACGTCAAGACAAACAATACAATATTGAGGAGGATATTGCCAACAATATTTTAATCATATTTCAAAATATAATTTATACTTTAGGGAAGGAAAACATAAATAGAGAAGAAACAATAATTTATCATTAATGAAAAAAGAGAAATCATGAATTCAATATCTTTGATAATTAACATAAAATCAGTATGAATAGTTTATCTCAAATATACATTAAAACCATGGTGTAATACAAAAAGAGTTAAATGTGAAAGTAAGTGCTTAACAAGAGCAAACAACAATAGGAAGAATATGGTATCAATGAGAAGGTTTTCTTTAATTTTTAAAAGAATCGAGATAAAATAAAATAATTCAATAGTTATGAAAAGAATATGCCAAATCAACTAGAAGAAAATTGCTATATCACTCGAAAACAACTAAAAATAGTCTTTAATATCACAACAGGTAAAAGTTAAAGATAGTGGAGTCAGAAATGGAATAACGTCACAAATACTCTAATATATAGGTATGATATCACATTTCTTGAACCAGACATAGAACTACAGAACCTTCACATATTAGCGAAAAACATTAATTACAATTATACTGTTAAAAAGCAAACTATCAAACTGCAAAATTTGTGCTAATATAACAAAAACCATTCTTCTTCCTTATGAAGGAAAGAGATTTAGTAAAGTAATAAGTGATAATGATAATGAGTAAATATAAGATGAAGCTGCAGAAGTTAAATCAGGTTTGATATAATCAGAGACTCAAAACTTTTTTATGTCCAAGTTGGAGAGGGGTCAGAAAACTAAGATGTTATAATTGACATTTAAACCAACCCCCATTTAAATATGGGTAACTTTCGGCACCATTCAGGAAAACCAATTAATGAGTAATTCTAGACAAGTTGAAGTTAGTAACGCCACATACAAGGAAAAGATAGCAGCTTAACTGGAAGGATAACAGCACTACTCATCTTTGTTAACTACCACAGACTGCAGATCGGAGCGAAAAACAAGGATTGATCATCAACATCAATGTAAATCAACTTGATATAAATTGCACTTCAAAGAATGTTAAAGCCCTTAGTGCTGGGTTACATATTTTAGATATAGTATATTCTAAAAGGACTAGAGACAAAAATAAAACCAAATAATAACAGATTTGATGAGCTTTTAAATAACAAATTAAAATCTCAATGACCAATATAACTGAAGTTAATAATATTTATGGATTAGACAATAGAAAGATAACCAAGCAGATCTTCAACAAGAAATCTCTTATGCGAATAAATGAACAAATTTATCTTTATGAAAACATGAAATGAAATCTAAGGTAAACGAAACAAGGAAAATTTTAAAATAATATATTTGTAAATTGTACATATATCATACCTCAATATTGTTTGTGAAATTAAAACAAGTGGTAACAACAATGAACAAATTAAAAGAACATACAATATTCATATAAAATAAATAAAAAGTGCAATAACACAAAATGTTGATGTCAAGGTAATAATATGACTTGTAAAATAAAGAAAAAACTCAAAATAAAATTTAGCATTACATTTTTAAGACTACACAGTGCCTCTGCTAAACAGAGCCACTGTGCTAATCAGGCCAGATCATTTTGTTCCAATAAAGTTATGTTCTTCAAAAAAAGTTTTTAAAATACACTCTCGCTAATTAATTGGAACTAAACATTATTCAATAAGGAGCAAGGTATTTTCTCAGGTATATCTGTAATTTTATTTCCGTAATTCTATTTTCCAACAAAAGCTGGAGACTCTATATCAAAAAGTGATAATACAACTTGTCCAAGATCTGATTGACAGTCCCTTAAAATCTTTGATTCAAGAAAGTTGAAGAGTGAAACTTTGAGAGACAGTACTGTATATCTTAGAGATCTTTACGTTCATTTTTAAAAGATTCAAAATATTATATTTAACGCTCCAATATTTTCCTAATACTTCTTCAGGACACATAACTCAGGAATTAATCCCAATGACATGGGATATATTTTACGATAAATTTGTACAAGAAATAAAATTCTAAAGTAAGTGAAACTGTATAGATGAAAATGCTTTAGAAATGTGCTATATCTCCTCTCTCCAATCCCAAAATCAGACTTTTTAGGACAAATTTTCATTTACATCTAAAAAACAGCCCCTAAACAGGAGATAGTCCTTATATATCAGCACTACAATAATGCCTAGAGCTTCATGTATAATGCAGCAATTGTATTAAGATCAGAATAATAAAAGTTGATGTTATAGGTGAAGAGAAGATAAACATTAATATGAGGTTAAGCAAATAAATTATCAAGCAGATTTGCTGATTTTGTAAGGTGCTGTTTTGATGTAGATTTGTATGCAAGCATCTTAAGTAATTTCTAAAAGTAGGTGCATATAAATAAAAAAATGAAAATAATTTACCCAGGGTGTCTATCAACAATTTTTTTTATAAAATTCTCATTTTATAAAAGGCATTCTATGCCTCAGATATTCTTTTTTCTTCACATATTTTCTGGATTAGTTGTAGAAGCATGGATTTTAAGTTTTCTCCTCCATCTTTAATCAGTTCTGATGGTAGGTTATCCATCTCTGGGGTCTTTCTTGTTTTAAGTCTTTCGATAGCTATTTCTACATCCAGTATATCTGATTTTTCATCTGGGTCGAGGTCCTCAGTGTTGTCCGTGTTTTCTTCTTTCATGGGGTTCCCTTGATTGAGAAGTTTCTGTAAATGTTCTTTCCAGATACTCAATATCTTTTCTTTAGATGCTATCAGAATGTCATCTTTTCATCGCATTTGTGTATTTCTTGCCATATGTCCTATTCTTTCTTTTCTAATGTATGCGGAGAATTCGAGTATATTTCCAGCTAGTTGTCCTCAATGATCTGCAATCTTTCTTTGAGGAATTCCTGTTTTACCGATCTTATAATTTTTTTTGCCTCTTTTTAAGCAGTCGTTAATTTGTACTGAGCAACTTGATTAATTATAGCTAGGCAGAGCACTTACATTTTTCTTCTTTCCTCTACTGCCTTTTCACATGCTTCTGTGAATCATATCTTAGCTTTTCTTTTCTCCTGAATACCTATAACTTCCTTAGCTGTTTCTTTTAGTCCTTTCTCTATTTCTTCCCAGTTTTGGTCCACCATGAGGTTCTCTGAGTCCAAGGGTTTGAATTTATTTTTCAGCTCAAGTTGGAATTTGGTTCTTACAAATTACAAATACTTTAGGATTTTTCAAATTACAGATTTCGTAACTTGTTCTTTGCACTTGATGCCATGTTTTGTGAATTCGCTTCAGTATCTGACATAGTTTAATTCTAATCAGAGAGTGATCTGAATCACAGTCTGCTCCACGATAGCTTCTTAAATCTTGTATTGAGCTCTGATGTCTCTTGTCTACTAGCACAAGGTGAATTTGTTTTTTTGCTCCTTTGGGGCTAATCCAAGTGTACTTGAGGATATCCTTGTGTAAGAACACTGTACTGGTTTTTGATAGCCAGTATGCGTTTGGAACATCGGGGCCGGTATAGCAGAGTGGTTAGCACACTACAATAGTAAGGCAAAGATCATAGGATCGAATCCTGGCCCTGCTCCCCACGGGAAGTTAGACCATCATCCTCTTAATTAGGGGAGGCCTATAGATTACAAAATACTGCAGGGATATGCAAAACA